AACACAAAACAGAAAAAAATTTATTTGGTCTGAATTAAAAGATTATCAACAGAGTTGATGTCACTTGGAAACTTTGATGAATGCAACTACTTGCTGTAATTGTAGCTCAGCACTGAATAGAGTTCAGTGATTTCTAATGGATTCTAAAGTGTCTTTGTGTTTCTAGATGTTACAGTTCTCAAATTGAAGATGACCTCTTTGGTGGACTTGTCTAAAATTGATAGAGATACATTCCTTACACAGGTAAGTAAATGCTTACGTGAAGTCACTCATCCAAGTGACTCCTTCAGCCTCAGCTGACTGCAGTTTCCCCAATCTTATAAACACACCATTGACTGAAACCAGCCCAATGAATTGACAGTGTGGTGTGAGGTCAGTTTCTTGATCAATAATATGCCACAGGATAAATAATTGCTGTGACCCCTGATCAACAACCACTGATTCAATGGCCATGAGTACCATTCACAGAGAGTTGGAGCATTATACAGCATTTAAGATGTACCCTTAGGCCCCTTCCTGGATTCAGAGATGGCACTCCTTCACTCCTTGCACAAAGCGTTCCTCCCTGTCCAGTTCACTCATCTAAGTGACTGCAGAAGTTTTGGTTTTGTTTTTGCTCACAGGCTTTCGAGCTTTTTTCCTTATAAAATGCAGTTTTTAACGTTTCTTCCCGCAGTAAATATAAACAACGATAGTATTCAGGAAGAAATCCAAATATCGCATATTTTTATCATAACTCTGGTTTTACGTGGCCGATCAACACAATTTAAAAACTGGTATAAAGTCAACACTTTTTCCTTCAATTGTTCCGTCTGTCCTGCTCACATCTCCAATGGTTGTACACGTTGTCATTAACGTGGCTTCACTCCACATCAGCGACGCCGCTTTGCTAGCTAAAACACCGGTGTCAGCACATAAGGACGCTGTCACAGCCTGTCGACGACGTTGATTAGCTGCGTATATACGAATGTGAATCGCTTCAGTGGCTGGACTATGGGATAAGGTGGCATTCTTCTAATCCCATACTGGAGCAGCCAGTCACTGACTAACACCGCAAAACAGGATTGTTAACATATTTACTTTAATTTCAATTTAGGTTTGATTTTTTTTTTTTTTTGTGCGCAATACAGATATTTTCTGCGCAGAGACCGTGCCAGCAGTGCGCAATTGTGCACGCGCGCAGCTTAGAGGGAACATTGCATGACAACTTCATGACATGAACCTCCATGTGCACATCGCTGATGTTAATGCCAGAGACCTTTACCCACTATGTGACTTTGGAACCCAAAATGCTGGACTTACGGAGGCTTACATAACTCAAAATACTCAGCTTTATTGCTGGAAAGCAACTGAACAAAAAATTAACTAAACTGAGACTACAGAACAAACTAAACAAGCAGGCAGGCTGGGAAACAGAACACACAGTGAAAGTGAGGGTACGACAGGACAACGAGCAGGGGAAGATGCAGACACTAAATACAAAAGGTGAAGCGAGCTAAGAGGAGACACGGCTGACGCTGATTACACTGACAGGGAGAGCACAAAGCTGAACGCACTGACATAAGGCACTGACCTACAAAGTAAAACAGGAAGTACACGACAGACACAGAGCTCCAGACGAGACATAGAACTTAACATACACAGTCTCATGAGCAGACATAATAACATCATGGACAGACAGAGGGAACACAAAAAAGTGGGACCAGGGCAGACAGAACAGGAACTTAACAAATGGCGAATCTTAATGGAAAACACAATCAGAATAAACAAGATCATAATAAAGAAGCACAGAACACTGAGTCACCAGACTCAGGACAACGACAGTAATAATTTCCATAAAGAGCTAGGACACAAGTAAAAATACACAACCAAACTCAGCTGTGAAACTATTGCATATAAGATTGCTAACACAATTTGTAAGAATCAGAGTTTTCTTTGGACACAGCATTTGTCTGGTTGAGCAGTGTCTACATGATCCCACTTTGAGTAATGACTGTATGGGGCCATACTATAAACATCCTGATTTTCTTCACAGTGTTCACACATGATAGACATGCACAACCACACAAGTACATACTTCAACATAAATTTTTTTTCTGTGAGCACAGTTTTGTAAAACCTGTGCTGCTTCTTTCTAAAGAAGTCTCAAAAAGTCTTAAAAAAAAGGGAAAATGATCATATCTCTCTCTTCTTTTTCCCCCTTTCTTTAGATAAAAAATGCACTGATATCCAAAGGGCTGCCCCAACAGACGGTCATCCGACTCATAAACAGCAAACCAGAGATTGGTGCAACTGGCACAACATAAACATTTGACAGCTTCGAGAGCTTTTTCCTTTCAGCTGTTGAATGAAGTTTTGTCTTCACTGTTCTTTAACACACATTTTTAATAATTACAATCACTTCTCAAGAGCAGCCTTTAAAAGCAACACATTAGTCTGACTCTCCAGTGCTATAATCTGAAATGAATTAATATGTACTTTTGTTAGATTGTGAAGATTAAATGTTATTTTGCACTGAGTATTCTTAGTCTAGCACAGATACACTGATTGATTATCCACAGTGACGGGAATAACGGCGTTGCAAGTGACGGCGTTACTTTTTTCAGTAACAAGTAATCTAACCAATTACTATTCCTATCGTTACAACGCCATTACTGTTACTAACAAGAAAATGCAGTGCGGTCACGTTAGTATTTTTCAACAGACGGTTGAAGCTGCGTTCAGCTTAACACACGGAAGTAGCTGTCTACGTAAATAATCATGGCGCTACAGATTTAAGCAGCTGCGCGCCTTGTGTAGTTAGTGTGTAGTGTTGTGGATAGTTTTGTGTTGTGTGTTAAAACAATGAGGTGACTGCTGTCTCCAGGTGTCAGGCTGTGATGTTCTCCTTTATAGTGGACAGAAATATTTGGAGTGGCACAAATAATTTGTGTGGCATCTTATTGAATAAAGAACAGCTGATTGTTCTGTAAATAGTTTGAAATGGTTATTTAAAAAAAGTGTAGAAAGTAAATGGCTGCAAATAACTTTATTCTTTGCAAAACTTGTGCATATGATTTTAAAATTGACAATTTACATTTGCATTTAAAGTTATGAAATATGATTCAATAAACATGTTTGTGGTTGTTACAGTAAAAAATATAACTTTTTCTATTTGGATGTTTTTTGTCTGATTTTAGATCAGTTGTGTTAATACAGTATGTCAAAATGAAAACATAACTGTAAATTCAGACACGTGAGGTTGTGCTGAAAAGAATGATACCAAAAAAGGCAAAGTAAATAGTTTTTAAAGGTAAAATGTGGAGGGAAAATCAAAAGCAGTTAAAAATGGACCCCATATGGTTAAACATTTTTTTAAAGTAATGCAATAGTTACTTTTCAAGTAATTAATTACTTTTAGAATCTTCTAACTCAGTTACTAACTCAGTTACTCTTTTGAAGAAGTAAATAGTAACTATAATTACTTTTTCGAAGTAACTTGCCCAACACTGGACATGGGTGACAAGCGCCACTAAAAAACGAAGCCAGTGAGTGAAGAAAAGGACCACACTGAAATACAGTTAAGGCATATTGGCTGATTGGGTCCCACGCCCAGTTTCCCAACTTGGCTCGGGCGATTAGAGGATCATCAGGGGGTCCTTTTGTCCCCCTGTGGGGGGATACTCCCACTAGGTTTATATCTGGGACTCTCCACCATTTGACCTTAGAACTGAAGAAGCTTCTCGGATGAGAGGTGAAACGTCTTCAAGTAACTTAAAGAAGTCCAGACGCTTTTCTTTGCAAGCTCCTTTTTCCTTAAGATGCAGATGGACTGCTGAGTCTTGTCCTGTGGAGGTGGCTCTTCTGTGTTGTGCCATGCGCTTGTGAAGTGGCTGTTTGGTCTCTCCAATGTAGAGGTCTGGGCATTCCTCGCTGCACTGTACAGCATACACCACATTGTTAAGTTTGTGTTTAGGAGTTTTGTCTTTCGGGTGAACCAGTTTTTGTCTGAGCGTGTTGCTGGGTCTGAAATACACCAGGATTTCATGCTTTGAGAAAACTCTCCTGAGTTTTTCTGATACACCGGCTACACAGGGGATGACAATGTTGTTGCGTCACTCCCACTAGGTTTATATCTGGGACTCCCCACCATTTGACCTCAGAATCTAAGAAGCTTCTCGGATGAGAGGTGAAACGTCTTCAAGCAATTTAGTCCCAACACTTTTCTTTGCAAGCTCCTTTGACTACGATGACCTGGATGACTGAGAACCTTCACAGACACAAGTCACACAAACACATTCAGTTATCAGTTTCTCTTGTGGTGCTGGGTTTGTAGCCACATTTTGCAGTTTGTACAAACCTTGGTCTGTGTTGCTGGTGTGTGCGTCACATTTATAAACAGCTCATTGTGTCAGTGGCTTAACAGCATTCTGCAATTCAGAGAAGCGTCATATCTGCAATTTTCATGAGTATTTAATGCAAATCATATTTGAGGAAGCAAAGTGCACTTCATGTAGGAACACTATCCTGGCACTGTTCACTGCTTGCTGTGACAAGAACAGTAGCTGGGCTAAGCGTTGTACAGTGATGTTAGGATATTCTCTGTACTGTCCTGTAAAGGCTGAAGTAGCCAAAAATAAAAGTAAAATTAAATTTAAAAAAGACAGCATGTAAATTAAATTTTCTTCTGCAATTAAGCTGTTGTATTATGAATATATAACAGCATCTGTATGTAACCTGTTGTTTTTAGTTTATAACTCAATTTCCACTCATTCATTTTCTTGACTGCTTATCTAATTCAAGACAAATGGATCATCTGGTCACAGCTTTCACCAGGTGAGATCATCCAGACATCTATAATGTTTGATTTAAAGTTGGTTATTTTCTTGTTTGGTCTGTTGCACTTGATGAGGAAGACATTTTCATTTTTTATTGGCTACACGTTTTGCATATAGATTAATTTTCAGCCAGACAGTGTAAATATAGCAGCTCTGTATTATTTACCATCAGCTCAGCTCTTCACTGACAATAGCTCTCTGAACAGCTCTCCAGACCGGACAGCAAACTTAGTGAGTACAACATGCTCATAATCCTTTATTTAGAAATTAAATTCACAGCAAATATTGAGTATAATGTTCCCCGAGCTTAAGACTGTAATGTGACATGATTCTACTTTACTGGATCAGTTAATCTAACATAGATCAATATTTCTAAAACTGTAGCAGGACCGTTATGCCTCACTGTGTCTTGAGAGTTATTAGTGAGAGATAATTTACTTAGAAGATCTTTAAGTTAATCACATAGTAAACAGAAATATGTTGTAAAGTTAATTTGTAAATACAAATTATTTTTTGAAATGGTACTAATGTTTCGAACTTTCCTGTAAGAAACAACAGGAAATTTCAGTATTTTGAAAATGCTGTTTATAACAATGCCTGAAATTTAGAGAGGAGACCACAATACCAGCTGCAGGAGAAAAAACAAGCTCATAATACATGGCTACACATTAAAACTGCATTGTGAGCTTTTTTGTAAAATAGCATTTTACAGTTGTCAGAGCCCCTGTCCTCCCTAATAAAGGGGGTGATGCAGTACTCTCATCATTTAAGATGAGCCCTGTTCTCTGCTTTAAGATAACCACTCATGTTATCAGAGATGTTATCAGGGTTATAGAATAGAATAAAGTCAAGTCCTCTTCGACACATTCATTTTTCCATCTCCCGATGGGGATATACAGACTCTCATATTGCCAGAAAAGCTCTGGTATCTTAGCAGGTTTCCTGTGGACCCATCCTCAAGATAGTATGGGCTAAAGATGGTACAGTAACTTCCTTTAGGACTTGAGTGGGACCCTAAAATCCCGTGTGAACTGGGTTCACTATTTGTGTAGTGAGAGTTTGTGAATATTTTTTACAATGGAATTTTATTTATTTAATGTCCAACAACAGTCACTTCAGGGAACTTAATGTAAGGTAAAGACAGTACTACATGTAAACTCCAACAAGTAGATGACCCGCTGTGAGGAAGCACTTTGGCAAAAGTGGGAAGGGGAAACTCTCTTTTAACAAGAAGAAACCTCTGGCAGAAGGTTGGAAAAAGAAAACAGTGGCTGGATAGGCTACTGCTCAGTACTGAGCAGAGGCTTTTCATTGTTCTATTGATAGTTCCCACATGCTTTGCATTTAATCTCTCACCCTGTAGGCTGTTTTCCCAGTTTCTGCGCAAAAGACCAAAAAAGCTAGCATCAGGAATCACTGAGTAGAAGCAGAAACACTTCTGACAATGTATTTTGTGGTATGAGGAATAATACGATTAATACCATTCAACTTCTCATCAGAACAGTTTCAGATATAATTTCAGAGATAATGTGTATTGTCTGTGAATCGACCATCTATACTAAATGATTTGTGATGAACTGGTGGTAACCTGTTAATATTTTATGTTTAAATTGTCTGTTTTTGTTTTGCTGATTATATCATTATTAACTTTTCATTCATTTGAAAGCCTGATGCTTAGCCTCGTCCACCCCAGCTGTAAAACTCAGAAACCAGTCTTACTTGTTATCATCTATCGTCCACCTGGGCCTTACACAGAGTTTCTGTCATGGTCCTGAGTCTGAGGACTCAGTGTTTTGTGTTTCCTTATGCTTTTGTTCATTCCAAATGTGTATTCTGTTGTGATTTTTGCCATTTGTTAGGTTTCTGTTCCTTGCCTGCCTGCTCCCACTTCTCTGTGTTCCCTCTGTCTGTCCATGGTGTTATTGTGTCTGCTCATGAGTCTGCCTGTCAAGTTCAGTGTCCTGTCTGGTTCTCTGTGTCTGTTAAGTTTCCTGTTTTATTCTGAAAGTTCATGTCTCATGTCAGTGTGTTCAGTTTTACCTCTCCCCTGTCTCGTTAGGTCTTATTTCTCCCAGCTGTGTCCCCCTTCTGTCTCTAATTCCTTGATGACTCCCTCAGTGTATTTAAGCCCAGTGTGTCTTTGTGTCAGCGTCGTGTCGTTAACGTCTGTTCACCCTCACTTGCTGCGTGTTTAGGATTTCCAGTCCTCCTGCATCTCTGTTTAGAGTTTTGTTTGCTTTTGTGAGTTTTATTTTATCTTGATGTTCTGCTCCAGCAATAAAGCTGCATTTTCTGTTTAAATCTCGTGTCCTGAGAATCCTGCATTTTGGTTCCACCACTCCTGCCTGCCTGCCACACAGCCGACCATGACAGTTTCGGTCTGATTTCTCAGACTTTTTATCTGATTTAGTGCTCAACTCAGATAAAATAATTATTGTAGGTGTTCTCTGCAAAGCCAGAACATCTTACTATTCGTCCTATTATTCAACCTTGGAGTGATTTTTGACCAAGACATGTCCTTCAATGCATATATTAAACAAATATGCAGGACTGCGTTCTTCCATTCGCGCAACATCTCTAAAATTAGAAATATCCTGTCTCAGAGTGACGCTGAAAAACTAGTTCATGCATTTATTACTTCCAGGCTGGACTACTGTAATTCATTATTATCAGGATGTCCAAAAAACTCGCTGAAAAGCCTTCAGCTAATCCAAAATGCTGCAGCAGAAGTACTGACTGGGACTAGAAATAGAGAACATATTTCTCCTGTTTTGGCTTCCCTTCATTGGCTTCTTGTTAAATCCAGAATTGAATTCAAAATCCTGCTCCTCACATACAAGGCCTTAAATAATCAGGCCCCATCTTATCTCAATGACCTTGTAGTACCATATCACCCTATTAGAGCACTTCGCTCTCGCTCTGCAGGCCTACTTGTTGTTCCCAGAGTATTTAAAAGTAGAATGAGAGGGAGAGCCTTCAGTTAAGTTTCAGTTAAAACTTTCCTTTTTGCTAAAGCATATAGTTAGATTAGGCTGGATCAGGTGACCCTGAATCCTCCCTTAGTTATGCTGCAATAGACGTAGGCTGCCGGGGGATTCCCATGATGCATTGAGTTTTTCCTTTTCAGTCACCTTTCTCACTCACTTTGGCTGTATCCCAATTCAGGGTCTGCAGCCTTAAAGTACGCAGCCTCAACGATCCTCAAAGGCCGCGTACTTAAAGACCGCTAAGGCCGGAAGTGCGAGACTTGTGAAATGGGACGGTCTAGCCTCCGTTGCGCTACCCAGGTTGCCTAGCAACCATGATACTAAATCATACAGCTTTGTCTGACAGAAATGAAGGTGAAGGAGAAAATCTTTTGTTCATTTGTTTGTTTGTTTCTACATGAGCTTTGATCATTCTCTGTAAGATTAAGCTCAGCTATTGAACGGTGTATATTTTAAAGTAAAGGCTGTAAAACCAAGTTAGTACAAACGTCACTAATGTCACATAACTTTGCCGACATGTGGCCAACAGTAATGTTTTAATGTTCTTCGTTATTAAACATTTGCACATAAATAAGTGACATAATATTCAGTACTTAAAGTTTACTCTTCGGCCGCCCCTCATCTGCCGTTTTTTTCGGCAAAATTATCCACACCCATCTCCGCGCTATGCATTCTGGGATATGTTGGGCCACGAAGTCTACACCGCCACAGCCTTAAAATTCAGGGAAATGAAGGACGAATTTGAGGGCCGCATTTCGAGCAGCCTTTGAATTGGGACAGCCTTCGTCGCGTCACGGTGACGTAATCGGCCTGAAAATGCGGCCTTTAAGGCTGCAGACCCTGAATTGGGATACAGCCTATGTGTTAATAGACCTCTCTGCATTGCTAGCAGTTAGCATGTTAGCAGGGAGTTTGTCCTTCCCACTATCGCCAAAGTGCTTGCTCATAGGGGGTCATATGATTGTTGGGTTTTTCTCTGAATGTATTATTGTAGGGTCTACCTTTACAATATACAGTGCTTTGAGGCCACTGTTGTTGTGATTTGGGGCTATATTAATAAAATTGAATTGAATTATTATCAAACAGTACATGTATAAAGCCAGATGGCACAACTGAGTTAAACAGGAGACGTCTTGAAAAAATAAAATCCAACCGTCAAGTTTCTATTTCTAAATTAAGACAATACTATTATTACACAATTACTTCTTGTATGTGGAATGTTGGAGACTTTTTATTAAGTGTGGCATGTTTCACCTCTTAAAGAAAGCATATTAGAATGCATATATTCTTACATGCATCCAAATGTGCAGACAGACATAAACGAAGCATAAATGTTCTGTGATCTGTTGTGCACAGAAATCACTTTTCTGCCTTTGAGTATCATTGAGGCTGCGTACTTTAAGGCTGCAGACCCTGAATTGGGATACAGCCAAAGTGAGTGAGAAAGGTGACTGAAAAGGAAAAACTCAATGCATCATGGGAATCCCCCGGCAGCAAAAGTGATTTCTGTTTCATAAACTGATGAACTATTGCAACTAAAAGATAAAAACAAATGTGAAAAAATAGTTTAAGAAAGTTTTGATTTATTCAAAACAACTTCATTGAAAATACGATTTTTTAAATAGTCTGATGTTTGTGTTTCATAAAGTTGGATAAGTGCATTCAGTACCCACCACCATCTGATTGTAATCTTCTAATAGGTGTTTGCTCATTCCAGGTAATTTTCATGTTTACAAACTAAATCAACTAATCAAAAAACATCAGACAAAAGGACAGAGAGTGAAAGAGAGGCTGTCTTTGGAAGCACATGTATTCGTGTTCTCAGTGATTTCTACCTTTGTGCAAAGACACACACATTCATCATGTTGCTCTCTGAGACATCTTTGGTGCTGCTGATGGTTTGCGGCACTCAGGCTTCACATTTTTTAGGCACAGTCATGACCTACTACCCAAAGGACACTTTTGAAAACGGATCTGTCACAGTACGTACATTTTCTATCTAAAATAATTTTCCAGACTTGAAAACTTGAAAATGTTAGGTAAACACTTTGTGGCTGTAACTCTACAGGTGACCGTTCGGTATAAACTGAACTTCCACACAGCTGCCTGCACAAATGATGAAACATGGAATTGCCTCAGTGGTGATTGTGGGACTGGAACCTACACTCTACATGTGGTAAAACAGGAGAGCAGTGGAGACTGGTGTCAGAGAGAGGGAATCATGACTCGACAGGTTCCCAGCAACGCTCCGTTTGAACTTCGGTGAGTGTACAACAGGAAAAAGTCATTTGTAAAAACAATTTTTAATTGTCACTGAAGGGCGACAAAAATGGGTCACTCATGGTAAACTAATAATTGACTAAAACATGTTATGTTCAGACTTTGAAAACTGAATTTTCTATCAAGGTTGGAGGGTAGTGAGTGGATATCCAACGTCAAAAATGGCATTTCATCATGGAGAGCTGTGACTCGGGTGGAACTGAGGAACCGGTCCGACACCGGCAAAGCCAACACATCACCTCAGACCACCATCCTACCAGCTGTGGGGTAAGCCCACTTAATGTGTGTCTATGTTTGTATTCTTATATATTTCATATTTTACATTCATCCCTTTCATATTAAAATGTATTTAACAAAGTATTTATCACCCACTCGTTACATTAAAATGAATACAGCAAATAGAGCTACAATCTTTGTTTCTCTCTCAGAGTTCCTTCAAACTGTCAGAGAGATTTCAGCCTGTTGATGTTTGACCCTGATGGAGACGAAGTTAAATGCAGATATGGAAACTCTGCACTCTCAGAGTGTAACCCCTGCACTCCACCGTCTGTCCTCAGCCTCTCATCGGTGAGCAATGATTGTTACTCTCATGTCAGATGAGACAAGCAAACATTTTGCACAGAAAGTGATTAAATGGTTTTAACTGAGTTACAGTTCAGGACAATTTATTTTGCAAAAGTGAAAGTTTGTCCAAAAAAGTTGTTTTTTCTGCAACAGAAAACATTTTGGTTATTTTGACTTCAAACCCATTTTCGTCCTCTTGCAGTCGTCTTGTACTCTGTCATTCAGCCCCACCAGCAGCAGTAATGAAGGTTCGTATGTAGTACAGCTGGTGATGGAGGACTTCCCCAGACAGACCATCACTCTGACTCAAACCAACGGGACACAAACAACAATAACTACCAACGATGCCATCAGCAAAATACCGATTCAGTTTGCTTTGAAAGGTACCAATATACGTTTCATTATCTTACAATGAAAGCACTAAAGAGCTGCTGCTGATGAACTTAGTGCTCGGCCTGATGTACTGAGATGTTTGACCACCAGTGTAATCAAGACTGATTCTCTGGACCAACAAATGTTAATCTGTCCAGCAGATATTTTACTGTGGATCATCTTTGCATCCTGTGAGAATCACCTTAACTTCTCTGTATTCTTCCAGTTGATCCTGCAGTGCCATCCTGCACAGAAGGACTCTTTCTGCCCAAGTTTCTTCCTCCAACACCAGCCAACGGAGCTCAGCTCTACAACGTCAGTCAGACTCTGGAAATTCACATCACTGCAGAGGCACTTAACTCCATGTAAGTAAAACACAGTTAAAGACTTTGTCTGAATATATAAAAGTTTAAATATTATATTCAGAGCAGCCTATGGGTAGATATGAAATATAGGCCTCAAAGTCATGAATCTAAGAGAAATGAGTGACATGCAAATTTGACATATGTTTCAGGTTATCAGGTTACATATGTGAGATGATCTTTATTATTACAAATCTCCAGTGCTGATGTACAAGATTACAGTCAGAAGTCAAGTTAGACGACACAGTAAATAAAACAGCCAATGCCACACAGATGTAAGGACATGAATGCAAAAAGATTAGGTAATACAAAACTAAACCACATGAACATCTAATAAAAGATATAAATATTGAAACACTGATCCAACATTAGTCTTGATTGATTGATGTTTGATGTGCTTCAGTAGCCCTAAAAATGGGCTAAAAGTGCCCCTGCTTCCAAGGTTGGTTGGTTTGAGAAATAAAACATGGCCGGATAAAATCTGTGCTTTAGTTGGGAAACAAAAGAAATATGCTCTTTTTGCAGATGTGGAGATTTTGAAAAAAACAAAAAAAACAAAAACAAAAAAACCCCACACACAAGTTGATGAATTTTTGATTTTGTTTGTTGAAGGGTCTCTGAGCTGCTCTACAGCGGGCCGTACAATTTAATCAGCAGTCCATCAGGACCAGGACAGTTCACCCTGAGATGGACACCATCTGAAAGAGAAGAAGGACAAAGCCTCCCCATCTGTTTTGCTGTCCAGGCAGTTTCTCGGTCAGTCTCATGTTTCATGTAAATGACTCTGTAGAAAGTTGCTGCAGTTGAAATTCCAACACGTTCTCACCCCCAAAGCGTAACATTTTACGCTAGGTGACAAATCGTCAACATATTACGTTTTCGGCTACCCACCACATTCCTAAATGACGACCTCGGAAAAATGAGGAAATATCAGAACCGTATGGACTCAATCTACACATGTTCGCTCTTTTTCTTCAAATCGCTTAGAAACACACTATTTAACATCATTAAAGTCCTGGTTAATGTCAGGAAAAAGGTTATGGTTAGGGCTAGGGATAAGGTTAGGTTTAGGGCTGGAAGGTTGGAACGTCTGTTACCGCAGGAGCGTCATTGCATTGGATTTCAGCCATAACCCGAAGGTCTCCTTTCACGTTCCTCAGGAATGCCGCGGGACGTGACAAAACATCCGCATGTTACGGCTCAGGAGTAAGAACGGGCTCGAAATTCCTGAAATGAAAAAGTTTCAAAGTAAAATTTTAACTTGTTGCCTTACAAGTTTCCTGTTTTAAGGATTGTTCCATCATTAAAAGGTAGTTAGCTCTCCTTTGAGTCAACAAAAATTTTTTTGTCTTTTGAGATTACAATTGCAGAAGGCAAAATGAAAACCAAAAAGCTGATAACAAGAGAGAGAAAAAATGGAAAAGACACTAAGAACCTGGGTAGAGGATCATGATGCTCACTGGGGACTTTAAATCAAAAGAGAAGAAGAGAGAAAAGACTTAAGAAGATTCACTGATGTAGTGAAGGAGGACATCCAAAGGGTTGGTGTGACAGATGAGGATGTTAGAAACAGAGTGAGATGAATGTAAATCTTCTGCTGTAGTAAAAGGTGCAGCTAAAACAAGAAGAATATAACATCTTTCTACTCAATTTTGAGCACTCAAAGCACTTTTTAGTACAAGTCTCATTCACCCTATCACACATACAGACAGACATGTGTTATACAAACATATTGTACCTAAATTACTTTCTATCTAACATTTACATGGATGTGCTGAGTAGGGCTGCCACAAACGATTATTTTGATAGTCGACTAGTCACCGATTATTTTTGCGATTAGTCGACTAATCAGATCATGCATCCATTGGATGTAAAACGTACAGCTTATTGCACCAGCATGCACCTGCTCTTATATAACTATCATTAGCTTACAGCTTTAAGTGTTTAAGGTCTGTGCTAACTAAAAATAAAGACAAGATGAAATTTGCAGATTGTTTCGTTGGAGTTTAATAAACTCAGTCGTCTGCTCCTGGCTATCTAAAATATAACAGGACACCGGAGTATATTCTCGAGCATCTCACACTTCTGATAATCAGTTGTCTGCTTGACGTTTATTCAGCTGCGTAAAAATGATAACTTTAATCTCAGCCAAACCGATTTACCCAGGAACAAATAGAATACTGAAAAAAGCCAAACAATAACATTTTTAAGCTATCTAAGTGACTTATATGTAGGGTTGCCTACCGTCCCTTGAAAAACAGAATCATCCTGTATTTAGAAACAAAAGTACAGTGGTTTTTTAAGGGACGGCTGGCAACCCTACTTATATATCATGTTTAACATGAGTAGCGAAAGACGGCGGTGGGTTTGAAAACGATTTGCCGGGAGTCCGGTGTTCTCACGGCTCTAGTGAGCCTTGAACCCCGGCTAGCTATCGAGGTGGTGGGTAACAGACGTCTCCAAAAATGTCTGAGCGCTTTTGAAAATATGT